CGAATGTTTATTTTTCAATGTTCACTTTTCTGAATTTAATTAGATTTATTAAGTATATCTATATCGCTTTCATATTGTTTCTCTTTATTTCAGAGAATCCCCATTATTATCGATAACGATTACACGATACCTGTTCTATCCATTAGACATATCTCGATACCCAAAGAAAATAATAGTTTGTATTTTTATTTAAATCGTTGATAAGGAGAAGAAAGAGAAAGAGAAAAAAGGGATGCAGGCAAATAAAAAGGAGGAAGAAAAAATGATCATATGATGAACAAAAAGAACAGCACTGATAAAAGTAATTGAACATGTAGGTTCACGTGCACGTACGCTTACATGCAAAATGATATAAATACCGATGTGGCGAAAATTGTTTTATAAACGTTTCATTTAAATGGCATTAAGTTTAAGTAGCATTAACCTTTATTAGATTAAGTTAAAGTCTTATCAGGTAGATGTGCATGCATCTCAACGAATATGCGACAAAGCGGCCAGCGTGCTCTCGACTTTGGAACTATGCTAATAACAGCAACGTTATGCTAGTAATAGCAACAATAGCAGCAGCAGCAACAATAGCACGCGGCCGAATGTATCTCGAATGCCCATCATTCTCACAGTCCAAATTCTAACATGCGATCTTTCGTCGCGAATAGATCGCGGTATAGTTTCTCTTTATCTTCTTACACGTTCTTTTCCATGTTACACTCATAATTTATGATATTGTTATTTACAAGAATCATTATACATACATTGTAGCAAGACCGCGTATTATTTTAACTGTTAAAATAAATAAATATATCGCGTATAAGAAATGAAAATATCATAACCTACATTACGATTAAATAGCTTCCGCCATTTTTTCTTTCCTTTTCTTCTTTCTTATTTCTTCTTTCCTCTTCCGAGTTATAATAGAACCCTTTTAACCATTAAAGCACATTCACGTCATCGCTTTCGTAAATGTTAATAAATATCTACATACATATATATATATATATATATATATATATTATGTGAAAACAATATGTATAATGCAAAATAATGCGAATAGAATTTTACGATGAATTTAATGATTCGTTCATTAAATCATTCGGGAATTTCTGTTTGAAAAATATTATTTTGAAAAATAAGAAATAACAACGATGATGATAACGATGACGACAACGACGACGATGACGACGACGAATTTGCGTCATTAGTTGGCACTTAAAACGAGAAAAGGAAAAGGAAATACATAGGAAAAGAGAAAGGAAAAAAGATATTCGTTCAGCTAGTTATTTGTACAAAATAGAATCGATCAAACGAATACAAAGAAATGATTTTTATATCTTTGTATATCGGCGCGAGTTTTCGATTTACTTCAAGACAATCTTTGGCATTCAAGCGATTTTTCATTCGATTTTCTTTCGACTTCGTTAAATATCAGAGAGGAGAACGAATATATTATTATCGATTTTCAAACTTGTATATATATAAATGTAATTTAAAAAGTGTTATCGTTATTATCGTCACCATTTGTTACATTACTGGCTATAATCTTGTTTCTTTTTCCTTCGATATATAACATATCGAATAAAAAATTATAGATAATAATAAGTGAATAAGTAAGCAAGCAAAAAAAATAATTAAATAAATAATTCAATTAATATGAGATTCACAGCATTTTATAAAAATAATGCATTATTGTCCGCATTTCACTGCATGTTTCAATGTTTTTTTGCATGCATACAATTAAATATTTTGGTGCTAGCATTAAAGAATTAACAATGATAGTAACAATGATCGTAACAACAAATTTATCATAATAATAATAATAAATAAATAACAGTAATAAAAATGAAATTAAAAAAAAAAAAAAAGAAAAATATAAATAAGGCTAGTCACAATGATTATTCTGATAAAAATATTAGTATATCAATGATGATAAAAATAATAAATAAATAACTATGAGAAAGACAATAATAATGACGACATAGGCGATAATATAGTAAGATAACAATAAATATATTATAGATATTAACAAAAAAAAAAATAATGAGAAGAGCAATAACAAGTTGATATTGCATTAATGGTAATGATAATAGTGATAATGATAAGAGTAATGATGTAATAAAAATAATTTAAATGGTAACGTTGAAACTCAAAAATATTTCATTCGTATAATTACAAATTTTTTAAATAATAATATATATGTAATACAATTTTTTTCTTTACATCGTTATGATTTTTCAACGTATTCGTTTCGTACGCTCTCCTCTTTCTCCTTATTGCTTGTGCCATAATATATAATCTAACGCAATCTAACACGTATTGAATATTCGTGTACTCGAATACTGGATAACTTATAATTTATTACTCACTTTCTATAAACGTGCTCGCGCGTTGGATACACAAGGAAGATGATGGAAAAGAAACGCCTAGGTGACTGATGCTCGCGATCGGTCGCGACTTGTCGACCGGATGACTAACCACGATGATCGTCGATCGTCGTTGCGTCAATTAGAAAGCCGACTACTGTATTTTTGGCATTGCTAATCAAACAGCTGCCCGTTCCAAACGATTGATCTAACCTTCCACCCCGATGAGATTATTACGATTTAATCGGCGGTTACCTCTGTAAAGTAAAAGTTCCGTTCAATCGAAATCGATCTAGCAATTGGTAAAGCCATACAAGCTTGCGATTACCTCTCGATCCGAAAATTATCCAACTTTTTACCGCTCGAGATACGGAAGAGGGCGCGCGTGCGCATCTCGAAAGCGAAGCCTACGGTTATTGCGAGAAATCGCTATGGATGTCGTGTTCGTTTTCAACACTTTCGGTTCGCGTTGAAAAAGGAAAAAAAAAAAAAATAATAATAATTGAAAAAATAAAGGAACAAATTTGAAAATATCATCATTCAAATCTTTCGAATAAAAGTAAATATATATAACATTTACTTAAGTTGCTTATTTGATCAAAGAATATCGAACGGCGAAAAATGATTTGATTTGAAACGCCAGATGGAGATAAAATCGACACGATTCGCGCAGCACTTTACATTATTGCTTCTATTCTGTTTCACGCTTTAAAGTAAAATGCTGAAACGAACAAACGAGTTGTGCGAAAGGAGCTAAACAATATAATATACATAATACTTGTATCATGATGTAACGAAATGAGAAATGAGATTGAACAAAAAAAAAAAATAGAATGAAATAGAGAAAAGGGAAAAGAGAATGTGGGGGAAAGATGGAGAAGAGAAGGAAAAGAAATCAAAGAGAATTGAAAAACATAAAATACGCAAAATGATTTTACCCACGGATTGACGTAGCTTGTTGTATTCGGAGACCACTGATCGGGCGGAATAAAAGCTCGATGAAATGGACGAAAGAACGCGAACCTTGTCGCTGGTTCTACCACGAAACGGGACCGAGGCTACTGGACGATGCAGCAACAAGCACTGTGCGTCAAAGCGCTTGTAGCGACGTGTTGTCGATAATGGTGTTGTTGCCGCGATGTCTGTCGTTGCTGGTGGCCCATCACCCTACCGCCTAACCTGGGCTATTGGTTCTCCAATGAATAATGACGTGATCTCTTCCAGAAACCTTTGAAGAATCCTTTCTTTTTAGGTGCGTCCCCACACTCGGCCGCTGAAACAAAAAGATGATATGGCTCTTTCGCCTGTATACATGTTTCCTTTTTCTTCTCTGCTCTTTTATTATACCAAGAATCATTCTTATTCATTTCTTATTTATTATTTCTACGGTATGAGAAAAAAATTGTTTCGGCAAGATTGCATTATCTATTGCGTTTATTTAATTTATTATATATCAAAATCCTTGTATCCGAGTTGGTAGTGGGGCGACGTACGTACCAAACAGCATCGTATATTTCAGCCACGTTTTTACTCTCACTATATGTTAATAGGGGAAGCGTTGGCAATTGTCTGTCGCCTGCATAATAATCAACGGTCTTTCCGGCCTTTCCTTCGAATCGACGGACGTTAAAAGCCGGCTACGATTGACGACGGATAGCCTCCCCCTCTTTTGATCAATGATAACTGACAATGAATAGAGAAAATTGCTATTCCCATAAATGGTTATTCTTGCAAATAGATTTTTTTTTTTTTCATCTCTTTATTATCTTATTATCTATCTAGAAAGAAAAGTGGAAAGAAAAAGGAAAAAAATAATTTTGTATCACGAAAATTATATATTTTTGCGATGCGAGGAGCTAGGGAGCGAGAACGAGAAAACGGTGCGTATGGATCAATACCGATAGTGTGCGGCTATGTAGCGCGCGTAATAGACGCAAACTGTTGGGTGTGTCTGATCTCTGTCACTTTGCATCTCGAACTGTGTATCAATCATTTATTGCTGCTATGATCGAATCAATAAAAATAATTCTTAAGAGTTACATTTGTTTATAATATATAAATTGAATGGAACTCTTACGTTTTACATAAATCTCTTCTTATTAAATTATTTCTTTGCTCTATTTCTCTTAGTAAGAAGTTTTCAAAAATAACTAAACAATATTAATAGAACTGATGTTCAGGCTAAAAGCGAAGCGTACATTACTAAACTTTTGGTGGAAAGGGAATGGATATTTTGGAATATCGTGTGTACGATTATATTACGCGTGTATATA